TGCCTACAGCCTTGGAGCTCCCCTTCAAACCCTAGTCACAAGTTGCCTTACTTGCCTTCCCAGGACAACCCGTGGAAGTAATGATGGAGGTGAGAGCAGTCTGAGTTAAGGTACTGATTTAGTGAATTCAGCATGGCCTTTCTATGGAAAGGACATGGGACAAGAGTGAGGCTGTCTGGAAATGGAACCGCCCACTTCATTACAACCTTCCTGGGAGCAGGCCACACCACCCTCAATGAGCTCCCCTCACCCAAACCACAAATTTCATTCCACAAAGTTGTTTTTTCATTTTTCTTTTTGTATTAAAAAAGTAATAACAGACACAATATCAAAAACACAAATGCCATTGGTAGAGGGTACAGCTGAGAACGCCTGGGTCCCACCTAAGGGGCAGCACCAGGGACTCCATGGTCCACCAACCTCCCCTACCCTGGAGCAGCTAGGGGTTCATATCCCTGGGTCCTGCTTGGGCCTCAGGCTTTCCTCCTCCCATCCCGGGAGGAGGTGGGAGAGAGTCTTCTCCCCCAATAAATAAGTGCAGCCCCAACGCCCGGGGACTGGGACTCAGGCTCAGCTGGGACTTGGAGACCACTTCAGCAGCTTGTAAGCAACCTCGTCCAGGAGAGAGGACTTCCTCACCAGGGATGTAGGTGACACTCCTCTGGCTAGGCTGAGGAGTTTCACTCTCTGTTCCCTAAGAGGCCAGAAGCAGCCCCTGGATCCTGGGCTGGTGATGGGGGTCCGGCCCCCTATGATGGGAGAAGCTGGGGCAGTTTCCTCTTGGTTGGTCCAGCCACATCTGAGTTCTGAGAATTGAGACATGAGAGATGGAAGCCTCTCGTGAAGTCCCACTGGTGGCCCCAAAATGGAGTCTAGCTGGTACCATTTTCTATGGTGAGTAAGACTGGACTGGAGGAGCTCTCACCTTGGTCCTCCTCTTCCATGGCCAAGTCCTGAGAGCTTGAGACCTTAGCCCCAACCTGGACCCGGGCTTCATCACTACCCTCACCCTCACCATTGCCACTACCACCACTGCCACCCTCGCCTCCACCCTCCTCCATGGGCTCCAGCCCCAGGCCATCCAGCTCGGAGAAGAGCGGGTCATCAGGGTGGCCGGGGTCTTGGGCACTGCTACCGCAATCCACACAGGCCTTGAAGGGAGAAAGGGAATAAGAAGTGAGTCAGACAGGGTCCTCACTGCTAATGTGCCAGCCCAGCTGCCCATCCCAGCTCAGTGGTGCCTCCCAACATGTACTCCCAAGAAACACTCATCCACACAGATGTACCTGGGGTCCAAGAAGGTTGGAGAGTGCTTGGTATACTCTACCTAGACCCCACTATTGTACCTGTGTGGTTTACTACTACGTGATCCGGCAGCAAACTTTGTGTAATTAACATCCTTCAGAATTAATCTGAGGACACTGAGATCAGCCCTTAGCCTCTAACCCCCGAAACTGAGCTCAATTTTTTCTCCTCTGCCCTGGCCTGAGCCCTGCTCAGCCTTTCCTCTCACCACCACATCGAGGGCCCGAGGCAGTTGGCCCTTCCGGACCCAGGAGTGCACTGCACCCAGCTCCCGCCGCTGGTCCTCTGAGAACCGTGGCTGCTGCTTCTGCATGGCCCGAAGTCGCTCCCGGTCCTGCTTCAGCACTGACGCCATGTCCCTGCCCAAGGAAAGGGTTGAAAAAAGGCCAAGGCTGGGATCTGGGACCAGGGTCAGGACCCGTGAGGCTCCCAGGGCCTTCTCTACCACAACTCTCCACTCCCCATTGCCTCAGGCTCCTCCCCTGAGCCAGTGTTGGGAGCTCCTGGCTTCCAGGACTAGGAACCCTGCCCTTGGCAGGAACTAATGATAGGGCTCCCAGGGACAGAGGTAAGATGTGAAACTCCAGGGCAGAGCCAGCCCCAGAAAAGAAAACCCACATTAGCTGGGAAGTTAGCGTGGGTGTGCCTCCCTACAACCTCAGGAACTGCTCACCTGGAGGGCACCTGGTAGGTCATCATGACACGCTGGTCAGCATTGGCCATGAGCAGCCAGATGGGATCCTGGAGCACGTACTTAATGACCTGGTCTCCGGGCTCAGCCCTGGCCCGAGCAGCCCCAGCCTCAGCCTCGGAGGAGTCGATGCTGCCAAAGTACTTGCTTGTGTGGCTGCTCTGGCTGCTGCCTGTGAAGTGGGGGGCAGGCCCATGGAGTCAGGCTGGCCCACATTCCCACTCCTAGGACCTCACATGTCCAGCCCCCTGACCTTGGGACACTCTGCCAAGATGGGGCCTGGCCTCCCAACTCCTGTCACCATCCTACCCAGGGAGGGACTGGAGGGTGGCCACTCACGGGTGATGCTGGCTGACGTGCTGCCCCCTTCATGGGAGCCGGAACCAGACCCAGAGCCCAAGCCAGAGCCCAGGGAGCCCGAAGCTGCAGAGCCTGTGCCAGAGCGAGAGTCCTCTTGCAGCAGCAGCTCCAGCAGGTCACTGGAGCCGGACAGCGCATCCTGGTTGGAGGACTCAGTTACCTCCACCTGGAGGAGTTGGGGACAGGGAGGGAATCAGCACCTAGGCTTTCCTTCAACCACTACTTGTTTGGGGGGGTGGGTAGGGAGGTACATCCAACTCAAGTGGTCTCTGCACCCCACACCGTGGCAGTGAGGCCAGGATGAGAGAACTGGCAAAGAGGAGGGATGTGCCGCTGGGCCCTTTCCAAGTGGCAGATGCACTCTCAAAGGTTTTGGGTTGTCCTTGCCACCTGTCACACAGACAGGATAGTCCCTTTGCAGAGAAGGGAGCCAGTTTTTGCCTCATTCAGAAAGTCAGTGGGGGGGGGGTCCCCCCCCATCTCCTGGAGACTGTGATGCCAACTGGCAGAGGGCACCAAGCAGTGCAGGGCAGAAGGGAGCAGGGGCTGAGGGCTGCCTGGGGCTGCGAGGATGATTCGGGGCGTTGGTGCTCACCAGTCTGGCCTCTGGCTCAGCAGCCTCCTCATTGGGAGGTGGGGGCCCAGCATTGCTCCCAGGGCCACCTGCAATGGCACCCCCCTCAGCACGGGGGGGCTCCTCAAGCTGCAGCAGATTGAGCTGGAGCGGGGAGCTACATCTCGAGTTGAATAGTGGAGAGTCTGGGTGGTGAGGGGGACTGGGGGGCAGAGGAGGCAGGGACGGAGAAGGCGAATAGGAGGCAGGGGTAGGAGGCCCTTCTGCAGGGGGCTGGGGTACCCCATAAGGATAGCTGGATGGGGTAGGGAACAGATAATTAGGGAGTACCAAGGCCACCATTGGGGTTACCAGGGGGGCAGGGAAAGCAGCAGGGGGCACAGATGTAGGGGCTGGGGGAAGAGGCTGGGAGCCCACAGCAGGGAAGGGGGTGGTAGCTGGTGGGGGTGGCCAGGGGGCAGAAGGCGGCACGGGTGAGGGGTGGGAGACATAACACGGGGTGTCGGCCCGGGGGATCTGGTGGTGGCGTGAGCGTTTGGCTTTGGATCGGCAGTGGTGTCGGCGGCCAGGGGGTGCGGGGCCATGGTGGCAGCCTGTGGGGAGAGACCAGGGTTAGCAATGGCCTCACCATGGGGTGAGTACCCCTGCCACCCCCAAGCCCCTGACACTCTGACCAGGGAGAGGGCAGGCAAAGCCCCAAAGAGCTGCTCGGCCCACCCTGAACAGGAGGGATGAGGGGCACCTAGAGGGAAGAATCACAGGAGGCAGGGACAGGGGGGTTTATTGAAAGGAACCAGGGCAAGATTAGGTTACATGAGGGTCAGGCTGGGGCTGTGCAGAAGACAGAGGCACGCTGGCGGATGGGAGGAGGCAGGGTGGGTGGGTCCATGGACGAACGGGCTCCGGTCCATCTGCCCAAATCCCGCAGGCACTGCCAGCCGGGGCGCTCCTCCTGCCATCCAGGCCGTGCTCTGCCTAGCTCACAACGGAGCAAAGAGGTGGACGGCAAAGCCCGGTGCTGAGTCCTGCATCCGCCACGGGGGCCTTCCTCAGGCACCTGGGGGTGCTGCTTTCCACCTGCCCTTGAAGCCCAGTCCACCCCGAATCATCCCAGAGAATACACAGATCTCTTAATTGGTGACAATGGAGTCTGAAGTGGGCATCCGTGCTGCCCCTGCCCCGAGGCGAGGCCTGAAGTAGCTTACCTGGAGCAGAGCACCTCCGCCTGCCTGTCTCAGTGCCAGCCCCCCAGGCTGCCCTCCTCTGGCTGCAGCCTGGAACCCCCACCTAGTGGGGAGAGGCTAGCGAGGGGCCTGTCCCTAGGCAGGGCCCTGGTGGTGGAGGTGGCACCAGCCTGGGGCCCCAGAGCAGGAACATCTCCCCTCAAGACCCCCCAACAGTCTGGTCCTAGACCGGGCAGAGGGCAGGCTTGGGAGGCCTGGGTGGCTACCTCGCTCGCCAGGGGCCGAGGGGGCCGTGGAGGAGCCATCAAGTCCACGCAGCCTGCCGAAGTCTCGGAAGCGGCTGAGGAAGGCTTGCTCTTCCTTCTGTGTGTGCAGGGACAGCACGGCCTTGGTCAGGCCCACTGGGCGGTAGGCATCTGGGGCTGGGTCAGGGGCTACTGTGGGGCTGGGGGCCGGGCTGGGGGCTGGGCCTGGGGCTGGGCCAGGCAGGTCCTCCATCATGGTGATGTCTGAGGAAGGTGAGATGAGGGAAAGGTCATGAGAATCACCTTGAGGGTCACCCACAGCCACACCATACCCTCCCTGGCCTATACCCCTGGGTCCACCCCATGGCCAAGCCTGAGCCCTGTGTGTATCTCCTGGCCGCCTCCCTGCCAAAATCTAGCTCTGAGCGCCTCTCTCCATGTGAGGTGTCCCAGGAGGACAACAATGCTCAGTCCCTTCCAGTGGCCACTGCCCTGCCAGGACACCCCCTATAACAATACCTTCACAACTCTTGTTGGAAGGGAAGCCCACCACATTTTCTAGGGAAGCCCACCACATGTTTTCTAGGCCAAAATCCAAAGACCCTGCAGGAGTCTTTAACCCCCGCCATCAGACCCACTGTGGTTAGCACCTGAGGGCTGAACCCACCCACCCCAAAATGAGGTACAACTGGCAGATAAAAACACATGGGGCAGAATGGGGTGGGGCAAAGCAGGCAGGGGTGGAGAACCACAAGCAGCGGCCCCAGGCTCAGAGGGAGGCCTCCTTCTCTCCATTAAGCCTGGAAGGGATGTGAGGTAGGACGGAGCCCTGGCTGGGGGCCCAAGTGGAGCCCAGAAACTGCCCAACTCCAAACCCATACCCGACTCCGGGGGCTTCTTGTCTCCCACATGGACGATGGTGGAGCTGAAGCTACACTGACTGGTGACGGACACCACGCTCTCTGCCTTATTGGCCAGGGTGAGCGGGCTCAGAGTGCCTCCCACCACTGGCTCCTTCCGCGGGGTGGCCCCCTCCCCAGGCAGCACTGCTGACGACGGATCTGTGCGGAGAGATGGCGCCAGTTACCACCCGGGCCCCCACCAGATATCAGGAGAGGCGATCCCAGGGAGATGCGGGAGGGATGGTTGACAGGGAGGAATCTGCAGATTGGGAGCTGGGGGGAGGGCAGGGCACAGCAAGACAGGGGCTTCAAAGGCAGACACAGGGCCATCAGGCCAGAATGGGCAGCGGAGATAGGGCACACGCTGGGGCTTTACCTTTCTTGGCCCCCAGAGGGACTGAACCCGTTCGCTGCTTGTCATCGTCAGAGGCTGAGGAGGCGGTGTAGGAAGAAGAGGAGGCACACTTCCGCTTCGTGGTGCTAGGGATGTTGCAGCTCTCCAGGTACCTGGAGATGGATGCAGCAGAGGCATAAGGGCAAGGCCTGGTGGGCAGGGCCCACAGGGCAGAAGGTGCAGGCGGTCCTCACCTGAGGATGCTGTCTAGGCAATTAATCTGCTGGTAGGAGCAGCTGGAAGCTTCTTTCCTCTCACCCTCTTCAGGGGCCGAGGTTAGCGGGGCCTGGCTTGGAGCAGGAGCCACCTCCAGCTCTGGGTCTGGGGACTGGCAAGGAAGGGCCTTGGCCTTGAATGTGCCTGCAGCTGGAGCAAAGAGACGAAAAGGTAAATGGGTTGGGGTGGAGGTCAGGGGAGCCCCAGGTCTTACTCTGCACACACTCCCACGTCATCACCAACTCACCAGGGAGGTGGGACCGGGCAGAGGGCCGGGCCCGAGACTCGATAAACAGCTGCTGCCCCTGGTGCTTCACCAGATGCACATCCTTACAGATCTGCTGGAAAGTCACCTGTGGGGCACAGCAGAGCAGTGGGCAGCACTGGGGAGCTGGCTGGCATGGGGGTCACGTGCACGATAAAGAAGATCCCAGCAGGGAGGCAGAGAGGTCTCAGGAAGAGGGCATGAAGGAATGGCAGGGAGGAGGAAAAGGGAGGACCGAGCAAAGCTCTGGGACAGGCAATGATGACTCCAAGGAAGACAGGAGAAGTGACTAGAGGGCTGAGATAGGAGAGGGTCACTCACCGGAGCAGGAGGCCCAGGGCCTTCGGCATCACCCCCATTGCTATCACTAGAGGAGCCAGGACTGTGGAGAGGGCCTGGGGACGTCACAGGGCCGACCCCACAGAGCCCGGAGGGGCTGGGGCTGTGCACAGGCTGTGGCAAGGAGAGGGACAAGTGAGATGTCCATAACCTGCTTCCCACCCTTCCTCCCTTCACGAGCTTCCTCTGTCCACTCTTACCTGCAACAGTAGCCGGTGGATCTGCTCGGAGAGCTCCTGGATATCGGGGTCCAGGGACAGAGCTGGGCTGGGGGCCGGAGGGGTAAATACGTCTTCATTCAGGGGCGCCCTGCAGGGCAGAAAGAGTGAGCCTGGCCCTGCCTCAGCCCTGCCCTACCCCCAGTGCCAGCTCAGGGACACAGCCCACTTACGTGCGTACTTTGTGGCGGCCCAGCACAAAGGCCACCTTGCGGCTCCAGGGGTGCACGAAGCCAGCCCAGCTGGTGTCCATGGTGACATACTCCCCATTCCGGGCACAGAACCGGATAGGGGAGTGGTCAAAGGGCTGACCTGCCAGCTGCAGAACTGATGGGTATAGGAGATGGGGTGGGAGTCAGCAGAAGGAGCACTATGTAGGAGGGAGGCCACCCCACTGGAGATCCCAGAAACCGAGACACCGAGAGACAAGCACAAGGGCAGCTGCTAAGCCCCGGGGAAAGCTGGGAAGAGAAAACAGGTCAGGAAGAACTCACTCTTCTTGTGGATGGCTAGCATGAGAGGTCGGTCCTCAGGATGCAGGAACAGGAGCACTGGGGCCCCCAGGAGGTCCTGGGGCAGGTAGCCCAACAGCGGGGCAGCCCTGAAACGGGAGGAGGCATCAGAGTGGCCATGGCCTCGGTGCTAGCCACGCCCTTTCCTCCAGGTCCTGACCTCACCTTTCATCCACATCCTGGAAAAGGCAGCTGGGTGTGTGTCGTGTAGTGAAAATCCTCTTGTCGGGGGGGATCCGGGGAGCTGAGGCACAAAAATCGTGGCCACTGGGTTCCATCCTGAAAGGGCCAGCTCCTCTCTCTCTACCCTGCCCAGAGCCCAGGCTGGCTGACAATTCTCCCCCGGCCCCATGGCCTACAGAGATGGTCTGGGCCATTCTTGTGCCTCACGCCATTAACAAAACTGATCATCACCAAGGCATTCTCTGCCCTCCTCTGCTCAGCTCAGGGCCCCTATTTGACTCTATCCTTAGAGATGGCTCTAACCCTCATCTTTGTAACACCTGGTCCTGTGCCACAATCCTAATTGACTTGCTCATGCCTCCCACATTCACCCCAATGTAGAAGAAATGTCCTTTTTCCCAACCTCCACCAGGCTAGGCCCTGAGCCTGCCCACCTTCATAACCCGAATGAATGCGCTCAGCGATGAGCAGGCAACACGGCTGTGCAGGAGCCCCATCTGAGACCCGGATCTTGGTCACATAGGGGGTCAGACGGAATGGCTGGTACCGAGGCCCTGGATCCCGATCAGGACCTCCTCTGACAAGGGAGACAGGTGCATTAGGGATTTCCAGTGGAAAGCCACCCAACCCTTTCACCTCAAGACAATTGCCCATGTGGCAAACAAACAAACAAACAAAAACAGCGAAAAGACTGAGGAAGGGGTAAAAAGAAAAAGAAAAAAGAAAAAAACATTCCTACTTACCTGATACGGCAGAAGACAGACTTCTCCTGGGTGAAGTCCTTCAGGCCTGAACCTGGGATACAAGAGGGCAGTGAGCGCAGTCTCCAGGCCCTGCTCTGGGCCAAGTAGGGCTCAGCAAGGGAAAGCTTGGGTCCCCTGGCCCCTCATGGCAGAAGCTTCGCGGGACTGCGAGCACTGGGCAGCTTACCTGCTGAGGCCCCAGTGCCCCAGGTGGGCAGGCGAGATGGGGCAGTGGAACCATAGAAGACGCCCACATCTTGAGGAGCCAGGAGCTCTGAGAAGCGGGCACCTCGGAACACATCCCGCTTGCAGCGAAGCAGGACACCTGCCTGCTCTGAGATGTAGACAATTCGGCCCGTCAGGAAGGAGACAGCCACAGAGAAAGTGTCCTGGCAGGAGGATGAGAACAAGAGCAGATTCAGGAGCTGTGGGAGTGGGGATGGGGATGCACAGGGATACAGAGGCCAGGCTGAGGCAAACCTGGTTGCGAAGTGTGTATTCAGATGTGATGTGCTCCAGCTCCTCCAAAGTGTAGGTGGACATATCCATGGCACACGGCTCACCCTCCTCCAGGCTCCACTGCTGGTAGTACTCCTGATTGGCTGCAGGGTAGGGGGATCAGGGCATTCTATAAGGAGACTGCCCCACCACCACAGCAGCCCAGGCCGTGGCCATTCTTTCCTAGCAAGAATCACTCACCTTGCACCTGCTTAACACAGGCCAGTGCATACTGGAGTGTGGCCAGGGTCCCAGAGCGACCCTTGCCCCGACGCTCTGGTGGCAGTCGAAGCTTAAGCTCTCGAAGTGCTGTCATGAGCTCTTTCTGGGTTCTTGCCCGGGCTGACTGTTCACTACTGCAGGGCGCACAGAGAAAGGAGTAAAGACGTTAGGCCCAGAGTACGGCCCAGGCCCCCAGGCTTCTCTCCCAGCCCTCACCCAAAATACCTGCAGCCACTGGTGGACGGATTGTCCTGCTCCGAGCTGGCACTCAGAAGGCTATAGGCAATGGAACTGCTGGGTGGAGATGGGCTCTGAGAGTTTGTACTGGGAGAGAAGCAACAGGCCTAAGATGAGAGGTGGCCAGCAAGCAGCACGGGCTGCCTAGCTCGGCCTCCTTTCGAGACCACTCCAGACCCCAGCACACATCCATACATACCTCTTGCTGCTCTCAGTGGTTTCCAGCAGGGCCGAGTCCTTGCCATTGCCAGAGGAGGAGCTATGTGAGCTCCGCTGAGATGCACCCCTGGACTCGTGCCCGTTGGACTCATTGCCACTTGAGCCATTGCTGTTGGCGTCGGTGTCATCGGCCAGGCTGGGACCTGGGCAAGGCCGGTGCTGTGGGGGCCCAGGGGATGGGACTCCTCCAGGACAGAAGGATTCCCCAGGCCTGGGGTCCCCTCCCCCATCAGCCCCTTCTAGGGGGCCACTCATGTCTGAGCCATGGGGAGGGCAGGAGAACAGGGAAGGCGGGGAGGCCACCACGGATGCACAAGGGGGCCTGGAGGCCTGGCTGAGATGGAAGAGCTGAGTCTCCGAGGGTTGACAAGTTCAGTCACAGCCAGAGCCTACAGAGAAAAACCAGGAGGGAGGGCTGGAGAAAACTTAACTCCACAGCCCCTGATGGCTTCACTGGAACCCTACCTGTCAGTTCCCACTCCCACAGGACCCAGACCTTGAGTTTTGAATAGGGAGCCCAGATAAGTTTGTTTCCAGCCCCCGGAGGGGGACCACGGCAGGTGTGAAGGAAGGCTATCTTGGGCCTTCCCCCACTTCCCCTGCCAGCCTGGGTTACAGCTTGGGCAGTTGATTAGAACCACTACTCCGGGCCAGACTGGACAATTCCTACCAGACCCCCACTCCGCCAGGGACTCCAAGGCCACAGAGCAGGGGGAGAGCTGCTCGCCTCCTATATTTAGGCCTCCGGGCTAATTTTATCCGGGGGCGGTGCCACCCCCGTTGCACATGCGCGCCGTCGTCGTGCGCGGCCCCACCACGCGCTTCCGCCGCCGCCACGGTCGCCTGGGAAACCGACGTCAGCCGCTGAGCTCAGCGGTTGCTGGAGGGACCACAGAAGGGTGGGAGGAACGACCCCTCCCCCATTTCCTGGCGGAAGGGGGAAACGGTCCACTCCCACACAAGTGGGCGCGGCCGGGGTCTCCCACTCCCAACAATTGCCCCAGTCTCCGGCCAGCATAGTGGCTGTATGAAGAGAGAGAACTTATCGGGGATTCTAGTGGCCGATCCCGGCTTTCCCAGAACGAAACACAACCTCCACCGCCCTCCATGCAAAAGTCCCCCACTCTGTCTCTTGCTTGGATCCCAGACATTCCATTCAAGACAACACAGCTTTTCTCTGGCCCATGTCCCCACTTCCGACCACCAGGAACGAAGCCGACACCTGCCATCGTTAAGAACCCTGGGAATCAATCCTCTCTTCTCGGTCCCTTACTTTTCTAACCACTTCCCCCCAAGCGAAGCCTTAGGCAAGAGACACACAACAGCCAGCAGTTCTTCCCCTACTCCCAGTCCAACCACACTCCTACCCCGAGTATTTTTTGAACACCAAGAGAAAAGGGAAGGCCGAGGCCAACAGCAGAAACAAGCGCCGGGGACGGGATGTTCCACCCCGAAGCCAGCTGACATCACGGCCGGCGTGGGGCCAGGGATTGGAGAGGGGAGGACGGATAGCGCCGAAAGCCTAAGGGTTCTAGCGCTGGAGCAAACACGGGGACCCCTGAAAAAGGAGACAGGGGGCATGGCCGCCGCCGAGGGTCAGTGGTGGGGCCGCGATGGCTGGGTCCGGCGGGCAAACCTGTTGTTAAGGTGAGCAGGTCAGGGGTGCGAGCACCCGATGCAGGGCTGAGAGAAGCACCTGGGTCCGGAGAGGGTGGACGGCGATAAAAAAGAGGACTATCGTGCTGTCTGAGCGCTCGGACAGAAAGTGGCCTCTTATGTTGGAAGTGGCGGCTGTCTGGCTCGGGGACCGAGACCCGCCTTAGGGTTGCCGCGGAGTTGCCTACCTGGCCGCGCGAGTGCCCTCCGGCCGCCTGCCAGCTGCCGCTTCAGCCCGCAGCCGAGCGGAAGG